AACATTTGGCACTAACATTTCAGTTTTTTTATTTATTCTACAGGAGGAATTCAGAAATTTTTAAAAAATATTTATAGACAATATAGTATAAAAAAGAAATTTGAAAAAAAACTTGTTCAGTATTTCATATACTTCTTTTTATCATTTTAGGAGTATGTGTCATTAATTTAAAACAAATAGTAACTCTAGGCAAAGACACATATCAAATTGCATGTCAGCTGATAACAAAAAATATTCAGTAGAATTCTTTGGCCTACTAATACAGAGGGTAGAAGAGTCCAAACTTCAAAGTTCAAATAATAAAATGTAGTCAGTGTTTAAAATGAGAGTTCAATATATAATGACATTGATGTCACTTTATTACAGTATGAATTTGCCATGATGAGAACTTTGTTATTCTTTTAGCCTGATTAAGATCAGTTTTGATTTTAAAAATGTTCAAAAATCTTTTTAAAATAATTCTTCTATCAAAAACAAGTTTAAACACACAAAAAAGTAGAAAATAATTTTAAATTTCTTAAAACGCTTTACACAAAGAAAGACTGTGCAGAACTGTAGATGAGCACTCTATATAGCCAAAAGGATACAAACTGAATGTAGAAAAAACTTAAATAAGTTTTATTTTTACTAATTTTTGAAAGCCCTTTTGAGAAATTGTTCAATTATTTTCTATTTTTTCAGTGGCTTAAACACATCTTTGATAGAAGTCTTTATTAAAAAATTTAAAAAAAAATAATTATTTATTTTCTACCTTTCAGCATTAACATTTTAATCTGTACATTATCAACAAAAGAAGTACCATATTATTGGCTTTTCAAAAATGTTGCACGACAAACTAACAAACGAAAACCAACCTGCGCACCGTTTTAACACAACATTTATTCTTTCACACTGTTTATCGTCTTTTTACCTTCCGACCATTCAGAAGACAAGACTACCAACACAACTCACCAATCATAACACTCCATACACACAAACGAAAACACCCGTTCATAAAAGCTGACACTGGGACGAGAGGGTCACATCTGTCAGCAAAAAATTACAATGGACAGAAAAACTAACAAGATTGAAATGCGAGTAGAAAGAAAGTCTTTAAAAATCAATCATAAAAAAATCATTAATTAATAGAAAATCATTAATATATCACAAAGTTAAGAAATTATTTAGAATAAAATGTTGGAAATGTGGTTAAACATGTATATATGAATTAAGCCATCAATCAATATTCAATATTAAAATCGTTCAGTGCCTCCAAGTTCTACTTGAACTATCCATAACAATGAAGGAACATTTTTTTTTAAAAGATGTTTAATTTTAAAAGCAATTTAAATAGATGAGAAAACACTAATCATGGCAAAAGTCTGCCTTATAAATTCAACTTGGGAGCTTATACCATATTGCTTGTGCCCCCTTCCCTTTTTCTTTTCCCAATAAACCTCTCCATGTGAACGATTTAGGCCATTATAAATTTAACACAAAGAATTGCAATGTTTTTAAAACAAATATGCATTGTTATAAATTTATAAATTAGCAAGGTCTCGTAACCAAAAAAAAAGGATTTAATCATCAAGTCTATCCATATTATTGTAAAATTTTTAAAAGTGATGTTTTAGGTATCATCCATGCCACTAATTACCATTTTCCTACCTATAACCTTTTGGTAATCCATATTTTAAGCATGGCTTAATTTTACCACTGAAAACTATGTGATTTATTATTAACATATAAAGAGGAATATAGTGAAGTATGTGAAGTTAATTGTAAAAATGGTAAGAATTGCAACCATCACTTCACTGTGTATTTTCATTAGTTCCACTAGAAAAAGGAATTTATATTAAAAAGGAGGCAAAAATAATTATGTTTATAGAAAGATATGACTCGCATATAGCTGAAGTTGTTGTAAATCATGTTGACAATTTGGGCCTCATGTTTTTACTCTTAGGGGTGTCACTATTTCTTATATATATATTCTGCTCCTGGTTTGGCTGCTTTGTATTGACAACCGGTCCTCCCCCTACTCAATATGTTTTATAATTATATTAGTGAGAGAAAAAAAAAAGCTGTCAAGTAGCGAGCGTCATGTCCATGTGTGACTGTTGAACTCAGGTGAAAAGGTTGAATTTTTATCTTTGGGTGAGGGCCACTATTATATTAATAAATAATAAGCCACGGGTATGGTGTAAGGACTGTCTTTAGGACTATTGTTTAAAGGCCAACAGGTAGGATATATTACTGTCTGTATGTCTATTGTTTATAGAAAATGAGAAATTAACTCTTTTTTTGTAACAATTGGACCCAGCAGGTATTTTGTAACAAACTGCACTGGTTAAGCCCTAGTTTTGAAAATGGGGGATTGTTTACATGTCACTATAGTAATTATAGTCTATACTCTATATTTCTGGAGTTCAGAAATTATTTCTGGAGTCCTGGGTTGTCAACTACTCATACTGCTTTAGCAGATGCCCCTAAGCCCTAATTTTTTCCCTGTATTAGTTATAGGCTGGCACTACGTACACCGCGGCGGTGTACCTAGCGAAACTATTGACTTTGGCCTGCGTACACCGCGGCGGTGTACCTAGCTAAATCATTGTCTGTGGCCTGCGTATACCGCAGCGATTTAAAGTAGCAAAACCATGGTCTTTGCGAGTCTTAAACTTTTTGGCCTAACTGATACTTGTAGATTTAATGTTATACTTTTGTTAAAACTGGAAACTATTTATTTAAAATCGTTGAGTAGCTTGGGAGGAAGCTTTTGAGTAAGTTCCACGCTTATAACTTATGTGGCAAAGAACTTGTAGAGCATTTCTTACTTATTCGAAGGGAGCGGGCTGGGGGTGTAATGTTAAACCATGATTTATTTTAAAGTTAACCGCTTTACAATTATATTTATTAATTATTAAAGTTTTATCCTATGATTGTGAATCTTAATAGGCATAAAAAGGGTAGCTAATTTGAAATTATTCTCCCCACTCCCCACCCAACCAATTGTTTTTTTTTGGGGAAGGGGTGGTGGGAGGCATGATAATAATAACATTGTATGTGATCCCTCGGGGCGTGGTGTAAAAATGAATGGGAAGCCAGTGTATCCATTTTGTTAGCACCAAGATATAATTACGCCACAAATACATTACGGGAACAGAATCACATACATTGATCATGAAGTCGTGAAGTTAAAGTTGTCCCAGGCATTGTCATTGTGATATCAAGCGATTGTCAACACAAAACAACAGTATGATGATCAATAAGAAACACTGCAGTGCTTGTTAAAAGTCTTTTAACAATAATTAAATATCTTAAATTAGTTTTACATTGGCATTACACATAAGTAAAAAATGGCGGCAGCCATCAGCACCCCCTCTCCGGGTTGGGGGGATGCAAAGATACGTTTTTTGTGCGGATGTCCTTTGTGGACAACCCCTATCCAGAGCCATGATTTGTGTAGGCCCCCCATTTTCGTTGAACCTCTGCCCATAAATCACCCCCACCCCCCGGTAAGGATCAATTTCTTAGCAAAAAACAACAGATAAAAAAAACTTTGAAATAGCGCAAATCCTGTCCCAAGCGCATTGTGCAATGGTTTCTGTGAGAAAATGTTGTGTTTTACCTGAGAATAGCACATCCCATGCCATTCTTGAAACAAGACCATGCACATTAATATTCATATGATATCATTGATAAAGTGTATACATGTTACATACACTATACATGCGCTTTCAGAAACTTTCAGTTTGTTTTCTAATGTCATACTCATATTACTAAAATTACCGGTATTTTTTTTAAAGTCAAAGGCCGGCACAACTTGTTGAAACGCTTAATAATCAGTAATAATCTGAATATAAGATATATTTAATTTAAATTGTTTTAATTGCTATAAAATATTTAAAAACTTCTCAGGAAACTACTGTTACAAATGAACATGATAATTTAAATATAAAATATTTTTAATTAAAATGGGAAGAAAAAAAACTCGATCCCCTACTGGGAATTGAGCTCACAATATACCACTCTACCATTTGACCACACAAGATCTTATCTTACAGGTTTTTCTTAAAACCAGGCCAATGGTAAATTTTTGTCGCGGTTTTCCCAGGCTAAAGTCGATGGTTTTGCTAGGTACACCGCCGCGGTGTACGCATCCCCTTCGTTAGTTATATTATCCAGCCAATGCTAATACTAATGTCAACAACATGGGAATTTCTTCTTAATTTACTATCTAATTTACAAGCATACCTACAGATATCAACTTATCAAGGGATCAAAATACAGTTTTAGGCAATATTTGAACACAAGGTATTCAACTGTCCCATGTTTCAATGTTAAGATTAAGACAGTAGGTTGGATAGTGAAAAGTAGTATTAGTATGCTTAGTGTTTTGTCGTTAGTGTTATATTATCAATAGTAATATTTAAGTTTATAATTATTATTGAATTGAGTTTGAGAAGGATCTGACCTCAATGAATCATTTTGATTTATTATTTTAATTAATTTTTTGTTTTGTTTCAGGGGCAGTGAGGCTTACACAAGTAGGCAGCGTTATGCCTACTACCAGGCATATATCATATATGGCTACAGTAACATAGTAGTCAAAAATTTAACTCTAGATCTTAGTTTTTCTGCACGAAGACTGAGTCCGTAAAGTACTTAAACTAAAGTTAAAGTAAAGTTGAAATAGATCGATCGACCTTCACCTTTGCCTTTACTTACCACTAAGTAAGTAAACAGACTTTTAATTTTAATTAAGCAAGAGCCATTTATTCAAGTGGATGTTGAAATTTATTTGATATTATATTTACCCTAATATGCAATGATTTAAAATATCAATCCTGACCTTATAAGCATTTTTCAAAGCCAATTTCTCGGCCAATCGACCTGATCGAAATACAAGAGTCGCCATTTTAAGGGTACAACCAAGTTCACACACCTGCAGTATATCGCAAATTTATTATCAAATTGGTCCTAAGATATTTTACGAAATATTATATCTACTTTCAAGGGAAACTACTCTTGCGAAAAAAATATTGGCCTAAAGTGAAAGAAAATTATTTATTACATTTTTTAAAATCAGCTTCAGTTATGAATCCACTCACGTAAGTTTAAAAAAAAATAATTTAAGAAAAGAAGCTGATGCCCATTAGTATTAGGATTAGTATGTGTGGGACCTACAACTTGGCCTCTTAAGAATGAATTGTGAGAATGAGAGAAGTCTAGGCTAAATAATGTGCAAATTTAATTAAAATAAAACGGCAAAAGTAAAGTGTAAGTGTAAACGATCGAGACGGCGATTCCAGTTCATTAGTCATTAGGCTTAGGCTTAGGCCTCACTCAGTAGGCAGTTGGCCTAAATTAAATTTTTTAACAAAATAATATTTAGTATTTATACTTTTCTTGAATTTTAAATGCTGGGTCTGGCCTTGGTCATTCTACTATAGTCTTATACTAACTTATAGCCTTATAACTTACTCAACTACTAACAACTTGCTTACTCAAAACCAAATTCAAACTCAAACATATTATATTATTTAAATATAATTTATTTAATTTTTAAAAATGAATTAAATGAAGAAGGACTTAGCCTATCTAACTTCTAGAAATGACTAGGCCAGGCCTAACTATAACTAAGCCTAAATGTTTAAATTATGACTTATGACTAAGACTAATTTGTAAATATTTTTTGTTTAAATCTGTACCGTACTGTATACCTCTTCCCAAAAAAATAAATGCAATTGAAATGAAAATTGTGCTTAGTGTTTGCGTATTTTATTCATTTTCATACAATATGTATTATTAAAAATATTGAATCAACTTATTTTATTAATTAGGCCTTGGCGTAGCCTATAAATAAATTATAATAAATTATAAATAAAAATGGCTATAATTTAGATTAGGCTAATATAAAGTACTGCCTTCCTCAATTTTCTGTGACCATATGCATTTAATTTTACCAAAACAACAAGGTTAACTCATATTTTACCATCATAAATTCAATACAAATGAAATAGGACAATCTATTTAGTCTATTTACTTGTGAACTTGTTTCCAGTTGATTTTTAAAATGAAACTTCTGAGGTTGTAAGTGTCACCAGAAGTCTTATATCTGAGTGTCAACTATGGTAGAGTTTAACACATTCTTACAGCTGTCAAAAATAATTACTTCAGGTTCTAATTGTCATAAAGAGCTACTCCCACTGTGCATGACTTAAAATGAATGTTTTTCCCTCTGACAAAATAATTCATTTGGACAAAGTATTCAGTCATAGTGCCATATCAATAATCTTTTACCTTAAGCATAAATTATGACTCATTAATTCATATAATAAAGAATATTGATTTCATTGTCATCACAAAAATTTCACTTGTATTGTGTAAGATTATTCCTCTGCACACATTTTTTTTATGCCATACAGTGTTGAGGGTTTTAAAGCTGTTTTTTTAAAATCTGTATGAAATGATTGATTTGTAATTTATTTTTTAGAAATTGTTATTTATTTTTTAGAAACATCAAGAATCTCCAGAAGCTGAACGAAAGGGAACTAGAATTGGGAATTATTGGCAAAAAGTCTTGGCATGATGAATATAAAGAGAGTGCTTGGATTTTTGTTGGGGGTCTTCCATTTGACTTGTCAGAAGGAGACATTGTCTGTGTATTTTCTCAGTAAGTTATGGTGCTTTTAAAAGAGGAAGGGGTAAAAATAGAGTATTTCCAAAACTGACAATAGCCTTCTAATCTAAAAATGCTTAACCATATTCAGTGGCATTGTCAAAACATCCATAAAAGAGATTTTGAGGATAAACAATTTAAGTAAATTATTATCTCTATAATAATTACTTTTTTGTTATGGGTCATAAGTTGATCCAGTAATCAACTGTGGTGTGTCCTTAGCATGATTCAATAAAACTGTTTGAAAATGGACAACACATACCGAATGAATGTAAAACCTTATAAATATTTTAATGATTTGAAATTTTAGAAGAAGTACGCTTTGTATACTTTTTGATGTTTGTTTACTTTTATCAACAACATTCTAATGTTTTGTTAAATCTTAATTTTGATTTTAAATGTTTCAATATTAATAATAAAGCATCATGGTCCAGTTATTTTATCAAATAAATATTGTTATTCCATTATTTTAGTAATGAAACATGCATGCCCTTTGAGATAAATATATTTATAGTATCTATTTTTCACAATTTTGTTATATGCACGTATTTTTTCTTTCCTTGAATAAGATGAACATTTTATGGTTACAGTATTTAATAGTTTAATCATTATTTTTTAAAAAATTCATGCTTTCTAACTCTTTGTACTCTTATGTTTCAATTAGATATGGAGAAATAGTGAATATAAATCTTGTTCGGGACCACAAAACTGGGAAGTCCAAAGGTTTTGCTTTCTTGTGTTTTGAAGATCAACGAAGCACTGTACTCTCTGTGGACAATCTCAATGGAATAAAGGTTTGACTCTTCATATTATAAATTGAAAATACCTTAAATTTACTTTACTTTATTCATGTATTTTTCCTTTGAAAAATTATGTTGATGACCCTTTTGGATGATATTATTTTAAAAACATGTATTTTTCTCTTTGAATCTAATTAAATTAATTCTTTATTATATCTTAAGTTTTTATTTGAATTTCTGGAAGTGTATGTGTAACGTGTGATTGATTTTTATACACTTCTCAGATTCTTGGCAGAACTATACGAGTGGACCACGTTAAGGAATACAAAGTTCCTAAAGAGCACGGAGATGAAGATGAAATGGTCTTAAAAATACGCCAAGAAGGATGTGCGCCAAAAATAATGTCTAGTAGTGAGGATGAACAAAAGGAGAAAAAAGATGACAAAAATAAAATAAAGAAAGGTAAACAATTACTAGAAAATCTTCAAGTTTAGCACAAGAAATTCATGAATTGAACTCTGTTCAGTATGAATAAGTGCCTTCTGTGTCCTAGGCCGGTTAGATAATAAAAATTAAAATATCACATCATATAATTTTAAGATTTGTCTGATAAACTTAGCAGATACTGTTTTGATTTAAGTCATTATATAGTGAGATGTTAACATGGATATCTAGTGCGATGATAACATGGATGTTAATGTTAAAGTAACATGGTTATTTTTGTGATGGCAACATGGATGGTAGCGGCAGTGATCTTGGTGATTCTCCAACCCATGAGCTGTGAAGAAAGACGAAATGTAGCTCATTCTTTAAAAAGACATGATAAACTTAGTACACTTGGTCCATAATTTTTTTTTAAAAAGATATGTTTACAAAGAGGGTACTTTGTATCAAATAGTGCCTGGTAAAAATTTCATGTCTTTTAAAATTGCCTTTCAAAACCCCTAGTATTAAGGTAAATGCACTATCGCCCATCAAAAGTTAACAGTTAATTTAATGTGCTATTGAAGTAAAATTGTTTAAAATGATTTTAACAACAGTGAATACAAATAATGTTTTCAGATGCAAAAAAGAAGAAGAAGAAGAAGAAAAAGTCCAGAAAAAGTCAATCCTCATCCTCTAGCAGTGATAAGGATGAAGAAAAGAATGTTGCAGATTTACAGATTAAAACGGAAAAAATTGATCCTGATTATAATAATGCATTAAATACTTCAAGACCACCTCGACAAAATGACATACATAAAAAACAGCCCTATTCAAAACGTGATGGTGATCATAAAAGAAAAAAAAACGAAAGTGGAAGTGACGTCAGTAGAGATGATGATGGGAACAACAGCAGAACAGAGGGAAGGAGTCAGCATGACAGCTCATCATCCAAAACTGACTTGTGTGGAAGACTGAATTCAAACAGTCACGGCAGGGAGAAACAGAAAGATGGGGATAGAGGCAGGCAGAGAGAGAGTGAAAGAGGCAGGCAGAGAGAGAATGAACGAGGCAGGCAAAGAGAGAATGAACGAGGCAGGCAGAGAGAGGATGATAAAGGCACCCAGAGAGAGGCTGAAAGAGATAGACAGAGAGAAGGTGATAGAGACAGAAAAAGAGATAAAAGTAGAGAAAGAAGTAGAAGCTCTGAAGAGAGGCACAGCAGGCATCAAGATAAGCACAAATCTTATTCCGGCCATTCGGCCAGGCAAAGGCCATAGCAAGCATTGTGAAAATTGGCTTTTTTACAAACAACAAAATAAAATGCACAGAAATTATTTATTTTCACTAGTCTCTTATTTTTGTAAATTTTACAGTAAATCTGTGTTTATAATGCAAGGAAATTCTGTTTTTTGTGTAGGCAAATAAAATAAAATCTTTTTATTTAATGAGTACTGGAGAAACTTTTAGAAAAAAGCGAATAAATTACAGGTACTTAAGTTAGGGTTAGGGACTGTCCAAGTTTTTTAAGGTTCAACTCCATCGCCCAATACTTCATAGCGCATAATATTTACTTTACCTAGTATAGCTGTATTGCTAAAGAGGCAATTAACAATTTTGTGTTAATAAAATAGATCAGCACAAAGTAAAATGTTTTCATATATTTGTGTGTGTGTGTGGGGGGGTATAATTACTGGGGGGGGGGGGTCATTGAAAGTTTGACAGGGAGTGGGTCAAAAATTGCTTAAAAATATTTGATGTAATTAATGATTAATGGACGCCCCTTAAGGTCTGAAATAACAAATAATTACAGGTAAAGTAAGCCTTACAAAATGATTGTGGACGGGGGATTGAATCCAAACAACGACTGTGGAAATACACCCTAAATAAAATCATTCTGATCCAGCAACCGTTTGGGCGAAAGTTCGTACGTAAAACGCTTTAAATTTGGACCAATATAATTTGGCTCTTATAAACAATTACTACTTTGTTTAACTCGAAAAGAAAACTGCTACAACTACTAGAAGCTACTATCACGAATTTAGGCTACCATCACATAAAAATCACAATACTTATAATTATAAAGTATAAAGTTTAGTAAAGTCTCATCCAATTATTATTTGTGTCCGTGTTCGTCTTACTTAAAAGGGAAAAAGTGAAAAGGTTGGAATAATTCCAGGTATGTTGCTCTTGTTCCATACCGCAGGTTCCCAATATGGGAATTAATTAAAGGCATGAATTTATTATGAATCATGAAACTATTTCAATTTCACTATTTCAACTATTTCGAACTATTGAGTTAATTTTAAATTATAAGAAATATTATTGATAATTAACGCTACGACTATTACAGTACTATAAATATAAATAATACTAATAAATTTAAATAGTCAATAGTAATATTAATTTCAATGAACTGATTAATTTTTGTATAATTATTATATTATTCTTATTGAATCAAAGTTCAAACTGAAATTACAACTGAAACTTACCAGTTATCATCACACAAAATACAATAATACTAAAACATTTTTTTAATTAAAATTAAAAAGGAAAATGTTACAGTTACACAGACTCACTGACGTAGGTAGAATAGTGTGCTTTCATTTAATTTTTGGGGGTTAAGTCAGAGTCAGAGCTTGAAAACATCATTAAACTTGTACTTGTAGTATTAGTATTGTCACATATACCATTGTAGCGAGATTTATGGGTTATCCTTTAATTTGTTAAAAAGACATCCTTTGACCTTTGCACTTTTTACTTTTTACATATAACTTAGGCCTTAGTTACACTTAGTAAGTCCTAAAGCATTGCTTCAGAATATCATCCTGTCAGTTCCAGATTAACCCAAAGGCACATGAAGCATGGGCCTGCATGGGTAAATAATATATAATATATACACTATCCGCTCCTTTGAGATGTTTTTCTCTGGGGTTTTAGGGAAGCACCCTCTTCACTCCTCTATCATTCTTTCTAAGTGTCCCGCCCAGCATAGCCTGCCCTTTTTTATCTCTATCATTCTTTCTAAGTGTATCGCCCAGCATAGCCTGCCCTGTTTTATTTCTGCCACTATTCCTGGATGGTTAGTGTTCTCCATTCTTATTCATCCGTTGTTAGTCCATATAATTTTCTGAGAACTTTCTCTCCCATATGTTTAATAAGTTTTTCTGCCATTTTTGTTAGGGTCCATGCTTCACTGGCACTGGTATAATAAAAATTGTATTTATAGTTGTTGTTTTTTTCTTGTAATGTTTTTACTTTTGAGTATTTTCTGACTCCTGAAATATGCCCTGTTTCTGGTCGATATTCTTTATTTTATTACTGTTAGTAATTCATTTCTTTCATGAATTAAGGATCCAAGGTATTTGAATTGATTTACATTTTCAAAAGTGTTGTTACTAATTTTATGGGTTTCATCTGTCTGTTCTTCTCTTAACATAGTCATTTGATGTCTTTACTACTTTTCCCTAACAGTGCAATGTCATCAACGTATGCAAGATACTTAAGAGGTTGCCCATTGGTTGCGGGTCTCGGGTTTTAACTGTTATTGTTCCTCAATATGTACGCTTCTTATAACTCCCTCTAATGTTAGGTTAAATAGAATTCTAGTCAGTGAGTCTTCTTGTCTTTGGCCTCATCTAATCTGAAATTCCCATGAATATTTTCCATGAACCTTAATTAAGCTGTTTGAGTTGTTTAAATATATATCAGTCTTGTCAGTTTTTTGGGGTATGCCAAACTCCTGCAGATATTTTCTTTTGATGTTGTCATAGGCCATTTTATAGTCCATGCAGAGCTGATGTACTGGGATATTATAATTATATCTGTAACATTTTTCTAATAGGCATCTGATAGTGAAAGTCTGATCAACTAGTGTTTGTTCAGTGTACAATTGCAGTCTTTTGGTAATTAGTTTTATCAGTATTTTATATGTAATAGGGAAATTCTTCTGTAGTTTGTGCATTGAAGTTTGAAACCTTTGTTGTGTATTGGAGTTTTAGTGTTTTATCCCATTCGGTTGGAATTTTCTTGTCTTGCCAAATTTCAGTTCTAAGTTTATGTGTCTGAGTGTGTAGTTCGCTTCCTCCATATTTAATATGTTCTGTTGTGATGAAGTCTTTTCCAGGGGGCTTTGTGGTTTTTCAAAGAATTGATTACTTCTGTATTTTCTTCCAAAGTTTGGGAGTTTATTAAAGGGTCTGGTCCTCCATGTGGTGGTTGATAATCTTCATCTTGTCCATTGCCTGCATTTAGTATGCTGTCAAAATATTCAGCCCACCTCTCCAGTACATACCGTACTATTTTCCATAAATAATTCTCCATCATTGCTCTCTTGCATTTGAGGTCTGGTGTGATATCCATTCTTTTCATCTTTTATCTTCATGTACGGTACATTCCTCTAATATTTCCCTCTGTTGATAAGTCTTCTATTTCTTTTAGTTTAGCATTTTCCCATTCCCCCTTTTTTTTTTCTTCTTACACATTTCCGTGGCATTCCACTGGCTTCCTTGTATGTTTTTCTCATATTTCTGGTTTCCCTTTATATCATGGTCATTCAAGTCTTGTTCCTCTCTAGTAAAATCAATATCTCCAAATCCAATTATATTACATGGATTTTAATGTAAACAACTTTATTCAAATTTACATAAACTATTATTTTAAGAAAGTGTAATACATTACATGGCAGTTAAAGGGGTTGAAACAATATCAAGTATGGATAGTTGTGGGAATATTTTAATGATATTAAAAAAAAAAGACTGTTACAGACATGAAAATTGGTTTAGACTTTTATTAAGATATAAGAATTATGTGTTAAACAATTTTCCAATAATATAGTTTAGGAGCAAGGCAAAAGTTTGGGGAAAATTTTAATGAGGATACCAATATTTCAAAAGCTTTAATAGTACAGATATTTTAATGGTGCTTAGATTTCATTTAAATTTAAGGACATGTTTTTACAATTTATAGAAAATTTGTAGTTCAAGGTGTGAAAAGGGGTTGGGTAAGCCTTAATTATTTAGGAGATAAAAATTTCTCAAAACCAAATGATGTGGAATTAAAAAAATATTTTAATAAATATAATCTTATTTTCTACTGGTCACAGCACCCTTTAATACAAATATTCAAATTCCATTCTGAATATTGCTTTAAAAATGTCTCAATGAATACCATATTTATTTTTTTTTTAGAATAAAGGTTACATTTTATCTTTAAACATTGAATTTTAAAAAAAACTATTAGTACCGCCCTGTAAAAATAAAGCCATAAAATAAAGCCATAGAATCCCCAAATGTCCCCTACATTTGGATTTTAAAAAATTCTATTTGGTCACGCAATCAGGTTTTTTTTTATCTTGGATGTTTTTGTTTACACTTAAAATATGATGAATGGAGAGACTCTTTGTGATAAGAATAATCTTGACCTATAAGTGCATGTGTCAGCTAAACTCTGACCCCAATCTTCAGATGATTATGCAGTTTCATTAGAACTTAAGAATTTTGTTTAGAAGTGCTGAGTAAAATATTCAATAGGTATAATTTTCCCAATTATAAAATTACAATCTAGAACAGAAATAATTATAAAATAATTATCGAGACATAATTTATTGTTTCTAAATCATTGTGCTGATCTACAGCCAGAGTAACAAGGGGATATGTCAACATTTGATTTTTCCCATCACAACTGACAAAATACGTTTGAAATGGCTCACAAAAGCTATGCCAGGTGCATAGATTTACCCACAGAGCAAGTTTTTCACAATATTAGAAATGCCAAGCGGTTCGCAATGGACATCGGTAAGTCTTATATTTCTTTTGTTCACCTTAAAATTAATTGTGTACATAAATCTTTGTTAATCGTAAATTATTGGGATTTTATACAATATCTGTATTTGATAAATCAAGATGTCTGGGTAGTTAGAGTTGAAATTTTTTATTGTAATTGATCTATTTGTCAATTTCATATTAAAATGATTTTACTTGCACCATGTTGTTAAAATCTATTTTACAGATGACCTCTGAAAGGAAACTTGTTTTGATTGATCATGTTTTCTCTTCTGTTTCATGCTGTTGAAAAGGTGGCTCACTTGCCAAGGTAGCTTACAGTTCACTGGTGAAAAAGAAATCCACAATGGTGTTTGATGACACAGACTCGGTCAGTGAAACGTAACTGCTGTTTATAAGTATAATAATAATAAATAATAATAATAAAGTTTATTTGAAAAACACACTTCATCCCCAAAAGCTTGAAGCGCGGTACAAAGTCAACCATATTAAAAAGAGAAATAAAAAAACAATCTAAAATTTACCACATTTAATAACAGACACAACAATATAAAGCTACATAAGAGCATAGCAAGTCAAAGTCTTTCATAAGAAAATAACTTTTAATTAACCCATTAAAATTGTTTTGAACTCCTTGTTCACCTAGAAATTCGCACAGTATCATGTGAGTCTAGTCTTGTTGTACACATTTTAATGTTTTATCATGAAAATTCACCAGCCCTACATCTAACTTTTTTATAAAAGGATATTATTATAAAATATAGGATGTTTTGGTGACAAAGCAGAAATGCATAAAAGTGCCTGGTTATTTTCTTTCTAATGTA